AACGAGTACCGAAACAGACACACAGCTACTTGATATCCAGATGCAAACCCGTGGCGTTGCCGAGACACGTGCGTGCGGCGCCGCAATGGAAAGCCAACTGAAAAGCTGAAGAAAACTGTGACCAGCTGTTGCCTACGCTGACAGCAACATGGAGCTGTTTCCTGCGCGCCTGACGAACGTGTAGCCAATGCGGTGGCAGCGGCAGCGGCGGCGGCAGCACCCCGAACAGCTGTTCCCGCAGTAAACGAGCCCTGCGTTCCACAAGGCGCAACTGGTGTACTGTATATGGCATCCACTTGGCATCCACTGGAACAGCTGGCACCATAATACTTGTTGACTCTGCAGCGCTGCAAAGCTTTCGCTCTTTCACTCTCTCAAGCTTGCAGCCCTTTTGCTTTTGCCTGTCTTTGCTGTGTGGACTGCAAGTAACGGTTGTTTTTATGAATGAATACCCCACACTTGAGTTTTTGCTTTGCATTCCACACTTGTTCTTGTCTTTGGGCTCACCAAATGTTTCATACCTGCTGTGATTTTGCTTTATTTATTTATGGCAAAAGTTTCCGTCAGACATTGCAACAATACTAACCAGCCGTCAAATTCTGCTCGCAGCCAAATAGGAGCCACCCACAGTTCCACCCGTTCCACCCATCTGTTATAAATCATCAAATAGTATGATTTAGTGCACACACTTTTTACACACATCATAACCGGAACAACAGCAGCAAGCGGCAAAAAAAAACATACCGTCTTAATACACTTGAAAATTCCATGTTGAAATATGTTTAAACCCTTTTTGAGCGGTCATAAACCGTTTGGTTATCTGCGTGTTGTTCTTTCTGTGCTTTTTTACTATTTTGCACATTTTTATTTTTATTGTTAGATTTATGTTTAGCCACACACGCTCACACATGCATGTGCATAAATGTTTATACAGTGGATTATATTATTTGTCATATATGTGTGCGTGTGTGTGTGTGTGTGTTTGTATCAATTGAGATTCTTTTATTTGAGTTGTGTTTCGGCTTTCACGTGTTCACATTTGTGTTTTTTTTTTAATGCATGTTGATTAACTAAGCCGTTGATGCCATATTTTATTTATAGAAGATTTATGGCCATTGCAATATGAATGAAAAATATTTGATTATTTTTGCCAACATTTTTAGAGTATTAAATGGAAATGGTTTAAGCCAGCTTAAGTGACGATAGGCGCCATGTCAACTAAGTAAAGAATATATGCAGCATTAAATTTCAGCTATTAGACATGATTGCAAAATCATTATAATCATTTCTATTTTTTTTATTTTTAGGAGCAAAAAGCTGCACTCCACAAAAAATGTCCAAGTGAATTGAAAGGATTATCGCGCTGGGCTCCGTTGCCAAAATGGTTTCTGGTTTTTGCGGTTAAGCGAACAGTTGCCATGGCAGCTGCCGTTGGCTGTTTTGGGTATGGAGGTGGGCATGGGCTTGGGTATGGACATGGGAATATGGCGCTGTCAAGTCAGCATTTCCTGTTTACCATGGCGGGCACTTAGCTTACCCCCGCCTCACTGACTCGCACACACAAATACATACAGACACCCACACATACGCACTGTAAGCCCCCAGTGAAGTCGTCGTATGGATGCCAACGGATATAGTGCTTCAGTTAAGACCTTGGTACGCTCTAATGCAAAGCAGCTGAATTGGATTTGGAATTGGGTGGCGTCGAAATGGCTGGAACATTTAGCTAGCGGCAGTACAAAATGGTTGTCAAATAACTTCCGGCTAACGGTCTCTCTTTAATTTTGTAGAGGGTCACGTGCAAAATTGAGGCACTGAAAATCAACGCTATCCTTTCTATGCGCTAACCCCTGGCTGTCAGCAAACGCATTTTCAAATGTCTCGCTTGTCATTTAGCGTCGCCGATTTTATTGTATCCTGGAGCTGTTTAGGTAAAGCACGAAACTGCTGAATGCTCGACGCAAATCGATGCAATTGAAAAATAATTGAACATTTGAAATGTTTATTGAATGTCAGCTCAGCTAAGTTGTAATGTGTGAGTAATGCTGCCTCCCCGGGGCTGTTATTCCTTGGCTGCCTTTGCATATCTAATGGGTCCCCACTGTGGCAAACCGTACTCCTTGTCTCCCAGACTATGTTTATAGCTGTGGCATTTGATTTCACGAATTCCTCATGCCACGCACGTCTGCCTTGTGGAATAGAAAAAAAGTTATTGATTGGATTTTTAGCAGTTTCTGCTTTAACCACAGTTAGGCTCATAATCGAAGGTCTGATATGTGGACATGGTATGTCCCAGATGTGTCACATATAATATGACATACCACATCTCTGCTGAATGGCAAATACTGTCGCGAAATTAATTTTAAGCTAATTCCGACATTCCACCAAGTCTATAGAAATCCTACTACACCCTTTAGTGAAAGGGATCTGCATGCCAAATATCCTCTTGGTCAATTCAATCAGTTGAATAAAAATATATAAGCACTTGAATAAAGCAGCCGTTTCGAATGGAATGACAATTTCATGTGGTTTACTGTCAGCTTTGATGTTAGATGGAGCTTTGCAACCTTCGAATGCAGACTATATTATGGCTGGGCCCATAACATGTTGACACAACTGACAAAGCTGAAATGGCAGGAAAAACTGAACGGAACTGTGCCGAGAAGAAGGCAGGAAGCAGCTTAAAAGTATGAAAATTCACCTGCAGCAAACTGGGCAACTTTTCATAGTTTGTCATATGTGTAAAGTAACAAACGACAGACAGGGGGTAGGGCAAGTGAAAGCAAAGTGTTGGCAGGGGTAAAAATATACTTAAAAGTTGTTGTTGTATTTTAGTTTCTCTTTTTTTTTAAAGCGTATGCTCAAAGTACAGGAAAATAACATTTTCATAAAGAATATTTGACTGCATCATTTTGCAGTCTATTGTCTTTCTGCATCATTTAATATTTTTGGCAAAGGAACCCAAAAGGTATGGTCATTAAAATGTGTCTATGGCTTAAAAAAAAAACCATACTGTTGTGTTTAATAAAATTAAATTGAAGCGAAAGACTAATTAAGATAAATTATGGTTACTAACACTGGCAAAAATAAGCTTAAACAAATTTAAACTTACATTTATGTACATCTCCGCATTCACATACTTACATGATTTCGTGAAAATCACATAGAAATTGTGTGGAAATTCCTAAGAGTGATATGGAAGGCGAGGATGAGAGCTTCTTAGCCACTAACGTTGACTTCACAGCGAGAGTGCGAGAGAGATAAATAAAGAGTCTTAGCTAAAGAAAAATCCCAGACTTGCCTAAGCTTATAAGACGAATTATACATCATAAACAATTATTATTTGTCATTGTTCGTCCACTCGAAGACATCTTTGAACTTCTTAAATACTCACTCATATCTTATCAGCAAAAGCATATATTTGTTTTTATATTTGTATGCCTGGCTCCCATTTTACTTATACTGTATTTGGTTTTTCGCTGGAATTGGCCCAAAAATAAAATGCGCTTTGTAAATCAAGCGCAGAGAGATATGTTTATCGCTTGCTTTGCCGTCTGCTGATATTGTCAGCTGCTCCAAATCCCAAGCAGGAAAGCTGAAAAGTGTACTTTTTTGGGCATTTTTTTTTTTTTTTTGGGAGTTTTGCGCGGTTAGCACATAGGGGCAATAGCCGAAAAACAAAATTTATTATCGCTAATATATGCGTTCCTGTAGCTGACACATTTACGACACATATGTGACCTGTTTTCATGGCACTGCCGTGGGCTGTAGCACGTTTATTGTTGCCTATTTGGCGGCGTGAAGCCTTTGAGCTGGCAAAATTTCAATTACAATCACACACACATTGACACATACACGCAGAATGGCTAAAAATATAAGCAATTTGTTAAATGATCTCATCAATTCATTTCAATTCCGCAGCCATAGAAGCGCTCGCAATCATCAGACCAGGGCAAAGGTCAACACAGAAGCCAAACGTGCCGCAATGCAGCTGATTAATTGATTTATTATTGAAAAGTGCTCAACGCCTGCCGCCTGGTACGTTGGAAACTCCCTGAGAGGCGGCAAGCGTCAGACGAAGCCGCCGCAGGCGAAGTCCAGAAGTCTTGCAATTTATCACGAAATTCCCCAATAAGCGCGCGTTAAAGTTGAACCGAGCACTCGCGAATCTCTGGCGCAATTAAGTTGCCGACTGCACGGCTAATGAGTGCGCCGCGGCCCGAGCAAATTGAGCAGCCGTTGAAATATACTGTAATCAAGGCAACTGTTAAGAGCCTTGGAAATTTATTGTCATTGCAACTGCCAGCTCATAATGTGGAGCCTTCAGTTATGTTAATTAGCTGGTTGGATAAGACACCAAAGAGCCTCAGCCAGTAACAGATTGAGCAAGTTAATATCAGACTTCCTTTAATGGAAGATATCAGACATTAATAAAGTACAGGTGCTTAAGATATATATATCGTACATATGGGGTTCACAATTGATGTCTAAATTGATTTAGTTTTAATCAAGGCTTTGACCAAAACACCCAAATTCGGCTGTCAACAAATACTAGTAAAGAGCTCAACTCAAATAATAATTTATTCTTTATAAAAAACTGTTGAGCCAGCCACAGCACTAAAGTATAAATAAGTTTGGCCCAAATATTGCATTTATGTAACCAATTTTGGGTAGAGCTCAAATGTAGCCCGCATTCTTGTATATGAAAATATGCACGGCTTGCAATATTTTCAGTACAGCGGGCAATTGCAGATTGAAAATTGAATTTTTATCATTAAGAGTCAAAAAACATAAAAAATATATGTCAGGTTTGAATACAAGCCTGTGCTTAAAATGTGGAAAACTCACATTGAGAGCCGAACCCACTTGGTTTAAGACTTGAATCCAACAACAGGTCAAATATAAAAAAAAATATTAATAAAATTTATAAAAATAATTATAACAATTGAAAAATTAACTATAAATTTATTTTCATATAAAATACAAAATAACAGTCTCTCTTCAAGCTGCTTTTATTGTGGCACAAAGTTTAATGAACCCTAAAGAATTACCTAAAGCTGCAATTTATGTCTATGCAATCACATAAAAATAAGTTGAATGTACGCATCGAATGACGACAATCGAGTGCGGGTTGAATAAACTCGTCTTCTATGAAATTAACTAAAAACGAGATAAAACGGATAAAGATATGCTTAATGCGAGAGTTGAGTGCACAGCCAACCAATTCCTGCCCCACAGTGCTTAGACGAAGGGCCAGAGACTGCCAATTCAAATGTACAGCAGCAGAACTGTTTATTGCTTATCTAAGCTAACAACAATAACAAAAAAAGGAACTTACTAAAACTAGCAAGCTTATGTACAGAATGCAAATCCATTTTAAGAGCCAACGATGGACTCTTGACGATTTTTCAGTTATGGCTGCGACTGCAATTTCAGAAGCTTTGTCACAAAGCTAGCGCAGTTGCAACAACAACAATTGTGTGTGTGTTTGAGTGTGTATGTTTGAGTGTGTACTGGTATGTGTGTAGTAGTGTCTAGTGTGTGTGTGTGTGTGTGAGGATGTGTGTGTACGTGTCAAGTGTGTGTGTGTGTGTGTTTCGTGTTGTGCCTACCAACAGCCCTGCATATGGTTGAGCTGCTGTATGGCCCCGCATCCGATACGATTTTGCATATAATCCGGAAAATTGCTCTGCAGCACCCGCATCGTATTCCGTTTGTAATCGGGCACCGCATGGGTAACCAGCTGGCATGTCTGGCTGCGATAAACGGGTTTGAAGTTGGCCTCCGCGAACGTGGAGTTGGTGTCCCAGCGATAGACCTCCGCGTCGCCCTCGTTGCGGAAGAATATGGCCGAGCCATTGTCCGTGCCAATGATGACCATGCGACTCGGTTTTTTGCCCAGATCTGCAATGCACACACACACATGCCCAGAAACGTCTAATTAAGAACTACTTGCGGTGAATAACAGATGTTTGAACTTACCCAAAATGCGTCCATCGGCCACACCGCTGCGCAGGTATTCGGATTTCAGGGAGAAGAGTTTGCTGGTGCTCAGATAGGTGAAATACAGCTCTGTGGAGCCGCAGTCGCGGCGTATTAGCGCTATGTAGAGCACATCCCGGGAACGACAGCCAGCGGATACGGCCTTGGGCAGCACCACACGAAAGCCGCGATCCGCTTGCAGATTATAAACGATTATCGCACGATTGGCCGCATCACTGACATAGATGAAGCAGCCGCCATCGGGCGCGTAATCTACCACCAGATACTGTAGACGGGAGGTGCTCGAGGTGAGGCCCTCCAGCGAGACTGTTTTCAGCACTTTGCCAGTTTTTACGGACATGGCCACCACTTTGGGCGCACATTTGCGCACCGGCGTCTCCAAGGTGTTTACAATGCCCGTGTCCAGCACCCAGAGCACCTCATTTTGATCTACCACCAGATCAACAACGGATTGCAAGGCCTTGCAGTTGCCCTCCTCCTGCAGATCCCAGCAGGGATATGGTTTGAAGGTCGTGGAACAGGTGCCCGGCAGCACATTGGTCTTCACCAGCGTCGCCGGCACACCCTTGCGATAACGCGGCAGCGCCAAGTAAATGGTGTCCCCAATCAGCTGGGCACGCGTGGCAATCACATTCTTGGCTATGTACTTGCCGGAGCTCTTGAATAGAGACTTGGTGCTGGCACAGGGAAACTCGAACTGCCCGCCCGTCCATTGTATGGGCTGTGTATCGGAGTGTGCGCGATCCGGCGTCCACAGTCCGTACTTGGTGCCCTGACCAAATGCGATGCGTGGTGCAATACAAATGGCCAGGAGCAGCCCCAGCCAGTGGGCAAAAAAGAAACGCATCTCTATGCTTGAGTATTTGGGCGTATGTGGCTGACAATATATATTGACTGAACACCAAGTTAACCGAGTCTAGCGTCTTATATAAGCCATAGAAGCGACCAGAAATGCACGACGTGCTGCAAGCCAATTTCTCAGATTGCAAACAACATTTTCGCAGTGGAAGAACCTTGAAGGCCTGACCGAAGAAAAAAAGCCAAAAACAAACTGTTCAAAAGTTGACTGTTTGGTTGTGTGCATGTGTGTGTGTGTGTGTCCAATTGCATTAAAAATAATTGAAATACTTCACGCGCAGAAGCCACAGTAAAGCAATCAAAAGTAAGCACTAGACGACATATGTGCATATATTTTTATGACAGAATATATATGCAGCTCATGCTGCGACTAATATAATCACTCACCCATACACACACACACACACACACACACACACATTCACAGCTGGAAGCTTAGGACAAGCCAACTAAGTGCGTTTTTATTGCAAGCGCCAATCTACAGGATAATTTGAGCTAATTTTCAATATGCACCACAAATTAATTTGCCTTTGGGTAATTTTCCACAGCGAAAATGCGTTTAATTGGCATATTAGTGAAATTGTGCTTGAAATATGGCTAAGATATAATTTAAATCGCTTCTCATAACTCAATCCATACATGCATCAGCGCTCAGCTGCAATATTATTAATAGAGTTAACTTATCATGTGATTGCTTTAACTACATCAAATCCTAACACAGGCAGCACATCTGCTACTTTCCCAAAGAGGGGCATAAAAAGACGAAGAAGAAAGGGAAATAGCTTTCAAGCAGCTCAACAGACAACGCCCGAAGTGTTTGCAACATCGCGACATGTTTGGCATGCCAAAATGTCAGTGTACGCCCGCATATGTACTGCCAGTAAATCCCTCCTCCTATGCTGTCGTGATTTATTTGCTCACTTTTCCCCCACTCACCACACACATTCCTTAGCTTGGTAGTATGGGATAAAAATATTGATGACAAGCACTTCCGGGCTGCCTGCCCGTCTTGCCCCACATAATTTATGCAAACATTAGCTTACAGCCCGGAGAGATAAGAGACAACAACTGAATTGAGCACTGACCAACCCCTCGATTAGACACGGCAGAAATTCCTCCTGCCTCCCGGCTATTTACCCTCCGATTATTTGAACAGTTTTTATTGCCGGTTTAACGAGGCGTATACGTCATGTGCAGAGCCACTTGGCCAACGGCCATCGACTCTCCACAATCTGGCACAATTTTTGGACAGCTCGAAATGTTTGTTTAAAATACTTCAAATATGCCCAATAAACGTCCAATTGAATACGCAAATTGCCTTAAATGTAATTTGATTTTTGCCTAGTTTTTTTGTTTTTATTTTCTTTTTTTTGCTTGATACTTTCCTGTGCCTCTTTTCATAGAGGAAAAAATCATATAAATATTGACTGTGGTCACGTTTGGCTATGGCTCTCTGTTAAATGGGTCGTTAAACTTGCTGGACGCAGCAGTTTTTTTTTTCTGTATTGTGCCGGGGCAGGGGCCAAAAATTCACATAAATTATAATAACATTTCCAACTTTCTGGCTACTGATTTCCCGATTGCATTTTTGTTGTTTATCTAGGGTATAAAGGCAACTTTGGGTCAGTGATGGATAGTACAGTTGATATAAGATAAAATTTGGGCATTGTTAGCTGGCGTGTTGGTAAAAAATTAAAGCTTACATAATTGTCATATAAATAAATAAAATGGGCGGAAATTATATGTATTTGCTGACTATTTTGCTGGAAGTTTCTTAAAGTATTTATTATTGAATAATATATTTATTATATATATTATTATATCAAGTAAACAAATGAAAAGATTTTTGTTAATCATGTGACTGGCAGATTGCTCTGCTTATTAATAGACTTTTCTGTGTGCTTTCCATTTGCAGACTTTGATAAAAACCTATGTTCTAGGGTATTTAGACAATCGTGCACGTGATTAGCATTAAATTGGGGTGTATTATTATTATTATTTTGTTATTTAGCTTGCCGCATAATTTATGTGCCATGCCTTTGTGTTTGTTTTCGCATTCGCTTTCTGTTTCTGTTTTCGCGCTTTCTGCTTCTGACTTTATTTGGCCGGCAAAGTTTTTATGTTAACGTTCGCTTAAAGTTCTTGATTTTCATTCGGGCACATACTCAAATTGTCGCATTAAATGATTTGCCATAAATTAAGCACAGAACGCTTTGTTTTAATTGTTTTTCCCTTAAAAACGTTGCACAATTGAACACTGTCCACAAGAAATATCAATTTTGTTGACTTGTCTGTAAATTGCAAACTGAATTATTTTTGGCATTTAAATGCAGACCATCACACATATGCTCATATATGTATATATATATTTTCGTACTGTATTCATATTTCTACGCATATGCCGGGCCATATTTATATGACTTGCATTTTACATTGGCAAAATTTTGCTTTATATTTTTGCTGTTGTTGTTGTTTTTATTGGTTTTATTTATGAAAGCGCATAAATATTTATCTACGACTCGTGCAGCTCGAATGATGCCACAGACAAGCGAACGCCCACACATGCTACAAATGTCGATGGCTTTGTGTATTATAAATTTTCAGATTATCATAAAAAAAAAACGAAAAAAAGAGGCAACTTATGACAGTTTATTAAAATGAATTTCACACGAATTCAATCTGCATGTCATTTTACATTGTGCGACTCTAGAATGGAGACTGAAGGCCAAAGACCGCAGCCTTTACGGAAGGGTCAGCTTGCCCTGCTTTGCCCAGTTTAAATTTAGCCCAACGTTGTTTTTTTTTTCCTTTTCTCTGCATTTAAAAGGGACAGACTGTAGCGTATCTTGGGCATAATTCAATGTGCATGTGCTGTCCACAGACCCAGGACTAAACAAAGCCACACAGCTTCGCCCAGCTGGACCCTGTTTTTTATTTGCTTTTTGTGGGCGCAAGAAAGGGAAGGGAATATAATGGGGCTGCGATGCTTATGAATGGTCACGAATTGTTAACGACCCGTTGTTGCCCAAAATCCAGAGCAGAGGTCAACGTCACACACCTTTAATTGAGCTCTTAAAATTGTTGAGAATGTGGAAAATAAAAAATAAATAAAAGTGAATTCCAGGGGGCACCCGGATTTGAACCGGGGACCTCTCGATCTGCAGTCGAATGCTCTACCCCTGAGCTATACCCCCATATAAAAAACTTACAGTTAGAGCTGTTTTTGTTATGAAAGTCTAAGATAAATCAAATTTTAACACAGCAGCAGCTCGAAGTGTTTGCTTATCAAATTTCTAAATTATCAGCTTGTTGTCTTTTACTAAATGTGGCAATATTTCTAGTTTTAAATTTCAAAATAAATTCCTTTAAAATGCCTATCACATGGTAAAAGTTATCTCGACACTTGACAACACGCTCAGTTTGTTGTTAAATATGGTAAAGAGCACATGTTTCTCTCACCTAACTACAAAACAAACTCAAAGTTGACATATACATCACAGGCAAAAACTTTGCTATTGACACCCAACTAGTTGGCAAGTTTTGGGGCAAAAGAGTTTCGACAACCTTCAACATGGAAAGACAGGCAATTTTGGCAGCTTGAAGTACGCTGCTGAAAATTGTTTAAATAAACTTTTACACAGCTGCATGTTAAAATAACATGCAGAGCTAGAGTTCGGCATGGGGCACTATTAATATTTGAATTGTGCAAATTGCACACGCGCTGTTAACTTCCGCAAAGTGCTCTTGTGGCGGGCATGGGCCGGGCAGCGGGTAGGGGGGAAGTGCCAGCATGGCATTTTTGTGCGCTTCCGTTGTGTCACAAAATGGCGCGAAGCAGACGTGCTGGCTGACCAGCGCTGCAGCCGTATGTGTGTGTGTGTGTGTGCGTGTGAAAGTTGATGAGACACATGTTTCCTCATGTTTACCAGACGACCTTGCCCCAGGGCAGACGAGCCAAAAGCACACGCGCCAAATGCCACAAATTAAGCATCGACTATAAATATAAATGTGCCAAGCGGCGCAACAGTTTTACATAATCGAAAGCAGCCACAAACAAACCAGCTGCAGCTCCACATTAAATTCGTTTTAAGCAAGTGTTCTTTTCCTTTATGCTATATAAAATGGCTGCACTGCTGCCATTGCTGCTGCTCTCGCTGATAGCGGTCACCTGTGCCGCCTACAGCTCCTCGCTGGACGACTCCACGAGCAGCTCGAATGCGAACTCAATTGGCGGCAGCAAATGCGATAAGAATCCGCTGGGCGAGCTCACCTTTCAGCTAAGCGGCAGCAACCTTCACTGGCCCTGTGATTCTACAAAGAACATTTATGTGCAATCCGGTCGCTATGTGCCCAGAAATGTGATAGTGACACGTGCGCAACTGCAGCGGGATTCGGCATTTGTGGCGCTGCCACGTTACAAGCAAGGTGTACCCTTCACCCTGGGCAAGGTGAATCTGAAGAAGGGCGAGTGCTTGGCCAAAATAGCGCCATATCCCTGCTGGGCCATACAGGAGGAGGGCAACTGCCAGGCGCTGCAATCCGTTGTCGATGTGGCTGTCGATCAGAATGTGAGTGCCATTAAATTTGTTATACCTTTCAGGCCAACATGTGGCTCCACCGAGAGCCGCATCGTTTTACACACGCACACACACACAGAGATTAACAAGCCAATTTAGCCGGGAAGGCAATTTTTTTCTTTAAACCCGAAACTTGCCACGCAATTTTTTATGCATTCAAATGCATGTGCATAAAAAGTATACACTATTTTTTTTTCTTCTTCTTTTAAAGCCTGGCTACTTCAGCGTAATGGCTTTTTAAATCAAATAAACAGAATGTATGCGCCAAAAAATTTCCATTAAATGGAATTTTTTAAGAGACAACACAACAAGCACAATCTGTGGATTGCCTCAGCTCAAGGTTTACAATTTCAATGAACGGCATAAAACAAGCCGATAATTGAATAGCTTCAAATATTAATTGACATTTCAATTAAGCATTTATCTTAATTTCTTATCAACACAAGCGTTAAACAAATTACAATTAGCTACTATCTTAAAGCTACAAAAGGCCAAGCAAATATTTAAAATGTTTCCAAAACAAGTGCACATAAAAATTTATGTAGAAAATTCTTTTTTTTGGAATTTCATTTTCTTGTGTTTCGTGAAGTTCATTTCCTTGATCTTTAATTTGTATCTCAAATTAAAATTTCAATTGCATTTTCACATGTCAAATTGCCTTTAAGCCAAAAGCAATTTCTGCATCGTATTTAAACAGAATTCATCCAGTAATAAAAACAATGAAATATACTGTATGTGAATACATATTGTACGTATATAATAACAATAACAACAATTGGCACGCGAATTTGTTTATTTGCATTTCAGCAATTTCACACAATTTACATGCATTGTTTTGAACTTTAAATTATTTTTTGTTGCTGCTTATTATTTGTGCTGATGCGCATAAAAAATAAATTGATTGTGCCGGAGAGCTAACACATAAATGTTTGGACTCATAAAAATTCCAGTCATGTCTCAATTACAATTGAAATATTTAAAATGTCATAAAAATTAATGTTTTTTATGAATTACAGGGTTTGCTGTGGGCCTTGGATGTGGGCATTGTCAATACGCTGGAGCAGCCCATACGCCGTTGCAGCCCCAAAATTGTGGCCATTAATACGGCCAACAACAAGGTGGTGAAAAGCATCGATCTTAGCGATTTGGTGACCTCCGAAAGTCGTTTGCAGTTCATTGTCGTTGATTACTCCAAGGATAACAAGCCCTTCGTGTGAGTAATTTTAAACCTAATTTAACAAGGAAGCGTGTATATCTACGGTACACCGAAGTTAAAGTACAAGGAAATTAGCTACTTTTGTAACAACAAAAATTACTAAAATAACATTAAAAGAGACAGACCCCACTTGAATTCGTGAAGATTGCACACAAGGGCAATCGCTCTCACTCAGCGCCTCTGTATGGTAATATGGTGCTAAGAGATATTGCTTATGATTTAGAAGAATGTTAAAACTCGAATTTTCTGGACAAGAACAAAACAGAAAAGTTCTTTCTATACAAACATACATTTCGACTGGCTCCACCCATATTTGTAAATACTTATATTGTTTACCTCCTTCAAAAAGTGTCAAGCAGAACAGAGCAGAAGACAAGTCAAGTGAATCATGTTCGATTGTTCCGAAATTGAAATCTTATCAGTTTCTTGGTTTCTCGAAACTAATGAAAGTTGCAGCGAAATGATATTTTTTAATCGAATTGTTTAGAGTTTTAACAATTTCCAATTTAAATCTTTTTTCTCTTTCTCCCACTTGCAGCTATGTAGCAGATGCAGGAGCCCGTAGCATTCTTGTCTATGATATTACGGGTAACAAATCGTATCGCATTGTACTGCCCCGCGCCACGGCACCGACCAATGATGTGCTCTATGTGGCCCTGACTGCCAAGCCAGATGGCACCTCGACGTTATTCTTCAGCTATCTGAGCTCGTCGCGTCTGTACTCGATAAAGGGCGAGTATTTGCGTGTGGGTCAGGGCGCCGGCTCCATCATAGATGTGGGACCCAAGCCTTATGGCAAGCAGGCGGTGCTGCTGGGCGCCGATGGTGGCACCTCGCTCTTCTTCCGCTACAAGGGCGAGAATGACATTTATCTGTGGGACTCGGAGACCTGCTTTAAGGCCTCCAATTTACAGGAAGTGCAACGCGGCGGCGATTGTCGCCTATCCACGCAGGTGCTGCCGGGACACAAGCGCTTCATGTGGGCGCTCGAGAGTAATTTCCATGATTTCATATCGGATCGCACTGGCTGCAATGGCGCCTCCATTGTGCTGCATCCAGTTGTGCGTGAATGCGATGATTGAGCAACCGCCCTCGCTCTCTGTTTGAAGGCTTGCCTCATTTTATTATTCATAAGTTTTGTTATTGTATAAATTAAAGTTTCCTAAAGCTCAACATTGGCCCACAACACAAGTAAATTTGGACTCATCAAAGATCAAACCCTGGTCGCAGCTGAGACGCTCCATAGTAGCACCCTTATTCTGGCAGTGATAAAAGCGATTGCAATCGGTCAAGTCCGCAACCAATCCCCAACGCTGGCATTCGCCATTCGTGATCTCTGCATCATCGCTACCAACTGGCGGCGCTCCATGACGGCACATGAGAAAGTTGGCATCAAAGTAACTGCCCTCCGGACACTTTCCATCTTTCAGTGCTCCGTTCACGCAGTAGTAGTATGTGTATATTGATTCCCCCGGATAGAGCATGCCATTGCGGCAGGCTGGCGAATCCACAGCTAAAATCACCTGCAAGGTAGCTAAAGATACCAATAGCAGCAACAACAGGTTACGAGAATTCATTCTTGAGACTGTGCTCGGCGACCGCTTCCAGCAGCAGCTTAAATACTGGAGGTTCCATACAAGTCCGGAAATGTTAGAGTATTAATTAAAAGATATGCACTTAGCTGGCTGGCATTAAATCAAAAAACTCTAGTATATAATATGAAACTAGGAACTGTATATATATATTCCAAACCCAAAGTAGCAAGATCCTTTATAATGACTTTATTATTGATTTTATAGCCCAAGTGGGGGTATTCTTTATTTTGTATGTGATCAGAACAAGAGCATCAATCCTCGGCGCGCTTGGGCATGCATACGGCACCAGTTCCATCAAAGCTGGTGCCCTCGGGGCATGTGTAATAGCTCAGTTCACCATTCAAGCAAAGCAGATATCCATGCTCAGTATCTGCGGCATAGAGCTGGAAGTTCTCACAGGTCTCCTCCTCCTTAATACATTGGCCATCAGACAGATCGAAGTAATAGCCTACGGGGCATTTCTGATAGATAAGCGTACCATCGAAACAGAAATTAAAGCCATATTTCGTTTCTGCGGGATAGGACATGCCCTCTTGACATATATCCGACTCCTTAAGGCACGTTCTTGCGGTAGCATCGAACTTGTAGCCCACGGGACAGCTTTCATAGCTCAAATCTCCATTGATACAGGAAAAGTAACCGTTGACCGTATTCGCCGGATAGAGAAGACCTTCCTGGCAGACGGACAACACCTGAGCTGGGGCAATTCTCTTCGAGCTAATAGGCCTAATGCAGCTGTGGCCATTGAAAGTGTAACCATCGCTGCATTTCATCATCAGCGGATAGAAGATGTCCTGACCGCCCTGTTTATCCTTTTGGCAGACATAGTAGTAGCTGCTGTTCGCGGCCCAGGCGCCTGTCTGACCCACATAGCTGCATGAGTATTGCTTCTCCGTACACTGCTCGCTGTCGCGGGGCATGCTGCAGCTGTGGGTGAGCAGGGAGTAGGCGGCACCGTTGGTGCATTGACGTGGCGTGTCCACGTTCTGTTCGTTGCAATCGTGATAGCTGCGGCAGTCATAGGGATCTGGAAATATGCCAGGTAGCTGGCAGTAGAACTTGCCGCGCACGGGCACTTGACACTTTGGCTGCCAGGTGCAGCCAATTGTGCCCTCATCGCTACAAAAGAAGCCGCGCTCCGTCTGGCATTCGGTCATGGAGATCGTCTGCCATTGGCCATCCACATGCGAGCAGAAGCCCAGTGTGGAGCAGTCGACGCACACAAAGCCGGCCAGGCGCACTTCCTGGCAGGGATTAGTCACAAGCTCAGCAGAATCAATGCCCAAGCTGCTGTTAACAATGCCAGCCTGGCAACGCACTAGACATCCCACCAGAAGAAGCGGCAACAACTTAGGAAAACTCATTTTAAAGACTGTTGGCTGGGCGTGCTTCAAGCAGATGCTTAAATAGCCAAAGATAAGCATTCGCGGCAGGTGTAAGACGCATAATTAAAAGATAATGGTTGATGGTTCATTAAAGTCACAACAGTACAAAGATTGACAAAATTCACTTAAATACTATTTGGAATTTAGCATGTGCCCAGTACACAGGCAGCTTGCTCCGGTCGGTAAAAGGTGCCGGAGGGACACTCCAAGTGGCGCATCTCTCCGTTGACTGCGGAGCAATAGTAATACTTGTGGCAATCGTTCATATCGGCTATAAGACCCACATGTTCGCAAGCGATCGGCAATACGGTGAAGCCATCATCATTGGGGTCCACAACGTCCGGCTGAGTGGTTGGCACCACAGGCAAGTTGTTTCCAGGACGGCACACGAAATCCGCAAAGATTTCGCCATCGTTGCAGCGATGCAGCGAGGGGTAAATGACCACAGTATCGTTTAGATTTTGGTTAACCGTCGACTTGCACACATAAAAGATATTGGGGTTACTGGGCCAGGCGGCGACATATCCCACCTTGGGACAATGGTACTGCGGTTGGGTGCACACGCTGCTCTGCAGCGTCATGGAGCATTGGCCGGTTCGGGCATCGAAGGCCTTGTCATTGCCACAGTCGACGGCGGCAGCGACGAGGGTGGCACCGACAAAATAGCACATATGATATTTCTGGCAATCGTACGGATCTGGAAAGATGCCCTGGGAGGTGCACTGAAAGTTGCCCACAATGCCAAATGGATGGCAGGGTCCAGTGGCATTCGAGCACGTGCCCAGTCGCATATTACAAAAATACCCATTGGCCACATCACACGATTCAACGGGTATATTAACCCAGCCATTGGAATGTTGTACACAGGTGGCCAGCAATTCGCAGGACTCGCATATAGGTCCAGGTGTTTGACGGCCTTCACAATTGCTTGTTTCTCTGGGCTGGATGATGCGCGTGGTGACTGTGGCAGCAGTCAACAAATTGATGACGTTGAGCAGAAGCTGTTCACCGCAAAGAGAATGAAAAAATAATTGGAAAAAAATCGATACAAATAAATCAGTTTAAACAACTTACCAAGCTAAAATGCAGCTGACGGAAGGACATGTTGATTGAGTAAAGATCAATATAAATTTGTGCTAATTGCTGCCAACTACTAGAATTGTCTGATTTGATAGCGTAGCTGGGAACTACAAAAACAGTTTGACTCACAACCCAAATATAGCAGACGTGCAAAGGTAAAGATATCTTCTGCTCTGGCACTGGGCCGGGTACCGGGTCTTTATATCAATACGAGCGTTCTGTCTGCGTGTATGTGTGTGTAAATATGTGTGTCTAACATCTTGCGAAAGTTAAAAGTTGGGCAAAGTGAAAATCGTAACCATTACAACGGCCAGAGATTACAAACGAATGGAATGCTGCGCTGTTGAGCAAATGGGTTCATATTTACACAGAAAACATTTTGGCAAAATCTAAGCTTAGAAATGGTTTTGTGTATATTATGCCAATAGCAGTTTCTAGTTTCTCAAGACAAACATGAAGCACTTTAGTTGTATGCACACTTTAGAAAAATTAAATATTTACATATCGCGGGTATCAATTGTTTTAAATTGCAACTGTCGTTCAAAATATTGAAAACGAGCGCGTAATTCATCAAAAGTATCAAAAAATGTGGCGTTTTTATCGACGCCGATCACAAATACTAGTTTTTTGGTATTTTTCTGGATGAAAATAAAATTTCAATTGAAATCTAGCATTTTCTAGTCGTGCTGTGCACAGGCACACCGACACATAACTCGCTCTAAATAGCTTCAATATTATCTTTACAATTTCTAATGGATTTCGTACACGAATCTGTAGCCCTTGGCGTCGATTTACTCATCCTCGGCCTCTGTGTACGCGAATATGTGAACTACAAGACCACCGCGAAAGTTTTGAGGGTAAGCGCATGCAAGTTGTATCGCATGCATAGACTTAATCAACAATTCCCGTTACTTGCAGGAGGCGCCACAGTACAATATTGATGGTGATCTGAAGAACATTGTATCCCGGCAGCAGGATAAGAAGATACCATATGCCGTAATACGCGGCACAGTCACGCCCATCGGTGTGCCATTGCGCAGCTCGTTTGTGCCCAGCGTGAGCGGCGTGCTCCAGATTGTGAAACTACATGAGCATCGCGTGATGCGCGCGTTTGCCGGCTTTTGGGCCGAGCAGCGTAAAATGTTGCACGAGAGTATCAACGAGATGCCCTTTGAGCTGACCAATCAGCAGCATGGCGTGGAAATTATAGATGCGATGAGTGCCGCTGTGCTGGATGTGGACGTTGTCTACGATAACTATGAATCCACATCGCTGTCGTTTTTCGATCACATATTTGGCTTCTTTACGGGAGTGCGGCAGAAGGGCCTGCAGACAACCGAACAAGTGCTGCGCGATGGCAGCTTCTTGACCGCCATTGGCGAGCTGGAAATGGACGGACAAACGCTGCGCATGCAGCCATCTAAACAAGGACCACTGTTCCTTACCACTGCCACAAAATCGACGCTCATTAAACGCTTCGAGGATGCCAAATCATCTATGCTGTAAGCCAATGATAGGCCGCTTTAAAGACTTACCTAATAATGTATATCGTTCAAGCTTCAAAATTGTGCTGTGCAGCAGCATATCCATGGTGCTGGTTGGCCTGATCGTACGCAAAATGTATCGCAAAAAGAAGCAAGAGCGCGAAGAAGCTAAGATCCGTAAGCGCCTAGAACTGGAGCGACGGGAACGTCGTGCCCGCAATAGGCCACACACCCTGACCCAAGACCAGCTATGTGTTGTGTGCTCCACCAATCCCAAAGAGGTTAGCTAGTGAATCAGTGCAGTGCGTCTCGCTAACTTGTACTTAATTATTTCAGATCATTTTATTGCCCTGCGGGCATGTTTGCCTGTGTGAAGATTGCGCCCAAAAAATTGACATTACCTGCCCTGTTTGCCGCAGCAAAATTGACTCCAAGGCGGCTGCGTTTATTGCCTAGTTGTGGATCTCAGTCAAGATAGATCAACTGTACCTGTCTCACCACAAGTCTTTGTTACCGAGTGTGCAGTTTTACATATTCATAAAATTCGTTTCAAGTGTTGACCATTCAAAAGTTTTGTGTGGAATCTATGCACTGTTTGCCTGCATAATGTCTCTATACTCTCGCTGATGATCCAATAGCTTTAGAAAGACTTTATACTTTCGATTATGCAGTTCCACTGTGTTGGGGTTCGGCATCAGCAGTTGCCCAGTGCCACCCATGGCCTTCGAGGCGCTCTATTAACGAGTTAAGAGTTGAATTTCTATAATTATAGTCGGGCGTTTGTTCTGTACACACCTCTAGGCTGTCATAGTGTCCGGCGGCAGCGGCACCCAAGGCGGCCGCGCCCACCAATACCATTTCTTGTTCGTCAGGAATCAAAGCAGGCAGATTGCAAATATCCGCATGGCATTGCACATAGAGTGGATTCTTGGCCAGGCCACCGCAAAAGAGTAGAGTCTGAAAAGCGGCGCGCTTATGCTGGTAAAGATTCTCGATGATGTGACGTGTCCCATACTGAAAATAGTCTATTATAAATACACAAATGAAATCGCACAGCGTTCAGATATACTCACAGCTAGAGCCTGCACAAAGGCCAAATATTTGATAGCCAGCGAATCGACACCTCGAGTCATGTCCAGGCCAGTGAT